AGATTTGGCGACGATGACATCTTGGGTGCAATCTGCATTATTCAGACGCTAGTGGTACTGCAGCTGTGTGTCGGCGCTTTGTCTTTGGCGGACCTCTCGGTTGTCGTCAGCGTCTTGGATGGAGCCGGTATTTCAATCGTAGGCGACGTAACGGGTTCAGTCGATGTCAGGAGATTTGGCGACGATGACATCTTGGGTGTAATCTGCATTTCAGACGCTAGTGGTACTGCAGCTGTGGTCGGCGCTTTGTCTTTGGCGGACCTCTCGGTTGTCGTCAGCGTCACGGATGGAGCCGGTATTTCAATCGTAGGCGACGTAACGGGTTCAGTCGATGTCAGGAGATTTGGCGACGATGACATCTTGGGTGTAATCTGCATTTCAGACGCTAGTGGTACTGCAGCTGTGGTCGGCGCTTTGTCTTTGGCGGACCTCTCGGTTGTCGTCAGCGTCACGGATGGAGCCGGTATTTCAATCGTAGGCGACGTAACGGGTTCAGTCGATGTCAGGAGATTTGGCGACGATGACATCTTGGGTGTAATCTGCATTTCAGACGCTAGTGGTACTGCAGCTGTGGTCGGCTTTGTCTTTGGCGGACCTCTCGGTTGTCGTCAGCGTCACGGATGGGGTATAATTTCAATTGTAGGCGACGTAATTCAGACGCTAGTGGTACTGCAGCTGTGGTCGGCGCTTTGTCTTTGGCGGACCTCTCGGTTGTCGTCAGCGTCACGGATGGAGCCGGTATTTCAATCGTAGGCGACGTAACGGGTTCAGTCGATGTCAGGAGATTTGGCGACGATGACATCTTGGGTGTAATCTGCATTTCAGACGCTAGTGGTACTGCAGCTGTGGTCGGCGCTTTGTCTTTGGCGGACCTCTCGGTTGTCGTCAGCGTCACGGATGGAGCCGGTATTTCAATCGTAGGCGACGTAACGGGTTCAGTCGATGTCAGGAGATTTGGCGACGATGACAATTTGGGTGTCGTTAGTATTTCAGATGCTACTGGTACTGTAACTGGCACTTTGGCTGGAGCAGACTTTCTAGGTATGATGAACGTTTCAAGTGGAGCCGGTGTTAAAATTGCAGTCTGTGCTTCGGCAGGAGCGAACCTCTCGGTTGTCGTCAGCGTCACGGATGGAGCCGGTATTTCAATCGTAGGCGACGTAACGGGTTCAGTCGATGTCAGGAGATTTGGCGACGATGACATCTTGGGTGTAATCTGCATTTCAGACGCTAGTGGTACTGCAGCTGTGGTCGGCGCTTTGTCTTTGGCGGACCTCTCGGTTGTCGTCAGCGTCACGGATGGAGCCGGTATTTCAATCGTAGGCGACGTAACGGGTTCAGTCGATGTCAGGAGATTTGGCGACGATGACATCTTGGGTGTAATCTGCATTTCAGACGCTAGTGGTACTGCAGCTGTGGTCGGCGCTTTGTCTTTGGCGGACCTCTCGGTTGTCGTCAGCGTCACGGATGGAGCCGGTATTTCAATCGTAGGCGACGTAACGGGTTCAGTCGATGTCAGGAGATTTGGCGACGATGACATCTTGGGTGTAATCTGCATTTCAGACGCTAGTGGTACTGCAGCTGTGGTCGGCGCTTTGTCTTTGGCGGACCTCTCGGTTGTCGTCAGCATCTTGGATGGGGCGGGTATTTCAATCGTAGGCGACGTAACGGGTTCAGTCGATGTCAGGAGATTTGGCGACGATGACATCTTGGGTGTAATCTGCATTTCAGACGCTAGTGGTACTGCAGCTGTGGTCGGCGCTTCGTCTTTGGCGGACCTCTCGGTTGTCGTCAGCGTCACGGAAGGGGCGGGTATTTCCATCGTAGGCGACGTAACGGGTTCAGTCGATGTCAGGAGATTTGGCGACGATGACATCTTGGGTGTAATCTGCATTTC